CAAAGTAACAAGGCCATGGAGATTGATGACAAGAGCCAAAGTAACAAGACCATGGAGATTGACGACAAGAGCCAAAGTAACAAGGCCATGGAGAGCCCCAAGAAGGAAGAAAAAATAGTAAAACAAAGGAAGATATGCGAGAAGTCGGAGGTTCACTTGGATATTTATGACTTGAATTAAGGGATGTTGCAAAGAAAACAGGGTAAGACATTCAACAACTATTACTATAACTGAAACATCATATAATGGAAATTATTTTGGTTATGTTCTAAATGAAGAATTAAAATGTATGTACAGACTGAACAATACATTAAAAAAAAATCAATAGTTTTAGAAAATACAATAACAGAATTGAAAATCATATTGTCTTTTAAAAATTATATTGAATTGTATTATATTTATAATTATATTGTATAATTTCTCAAAGGTTTAACAAAAAAAGTTCTTAACATTGGTATGTAGTTGCATTTTATTTGAATTTCTAGTAAGATAAAAATATAGATATAGTTTAAAGTATTTTATTTTGTTCCTTAGATAAATTTGTATTTCTTTTGATTCATTAGATCCCAATTTAAATATTTCTGGTTATTATTTAGATAAACTTCTATCATTAAGGGTCAAGAAATATATACAAATTAATTTACATATAGAAAAACAAAACCCAGTGAAATACTTAGGCACAAAGATAGAGGCATATTTCTTATTCCGTACGCTAGAACGAATTCGTATAAGCGTTCCTTCTTCCCTAGTGCCATTAGAGAATGGAATGGGTTGCCTGAGTCAGACAGGAAAAAACAACTTAGCAGAGTTTAAGTCATTGACTGCATGACTAGATTGACACGTGACAGGCGTAAGACATTGTTATCTTCTTTGAAGTACGTAACGTAACATAAGAACAATCCAGTAAGGTCTTTTAAGGGTTAACATATGCAGCTATCAGAGTCATTGTTCATTGGTAAGTAATTATAGATCATTAGTATTTTCAGTGTGCTTGTGGTATATTACTATGTAATTATTCGTCAGTCAAATTATTATAATATTCATATAATTTATATAACTGATTTATGAGTTATGTGGATTTGTACACTGCCAGATTACCAATTTGTTTTTTTACAAAGCTTTTATCAGCTCTGTCTGTCTGGCAAATCGTTGGTACACGTTATTTCTCCCACACCCAATCTCGAATCAACAATTATTTCTTGTACCTGACAAAACAATAATCAATTTTTAAAGTTTAACCATTAATTACTTTGTTTGGTATCGAACAAGGGAAATAAATTGTATATCACTGATATATTGGTATAAGTTGAATTAGCCCCTACCTCCCTTTTAAAAAGGCTTAAGCCTTGAGTTCAAATTCAAGGCGTGCAATTTTTTTTTTCTACATACATTTAAAAAGCGATCACGGAAAGATTCACACAGATACCCTCTTCTCCCCTTTCCCAACAGTTCCAGAAATTGATAGGTTCATAGCGCACTGAGAAATCTAAAAGCATGAAGCTTAACAAAAAATATTGATACTAATATTTCTAATCGCACAAATGTATTTTTGTTGGTCTAGATCTATTACACATATAATTACATGACTGATACAATTACACTTGATATATGCTTTGTTTTTTTTAAGTATTTTTTTTTTTGTTTTTCTTGTTTCATTAGTGCTTTAATTACTTTGTTTAGGTGAATTGAGTTCAAAGACATTAAACTCATGAAAAATATATGCCCCACTGTGTTCCTTAAGTGTGTATTTAGAGATACTATAAATGTTTGAAATATTTTATGCACCAGCATAGCTTATAGGCAACAAAAGTGTCCAAAGATCATCTTTTATTTCTACGTAGTCAGTAATTAAACAGGTTGGGCTTATGTGACTACCACCACTACCAGGCTCAGTTGCATTTTCACCCTTCCTTCTACTACTGTTGTGTTTGGCATCTGCCATTCAGGACCCTCCCTTTATGCTCGATCTCCATGTGGATCTATCCAGTGCCACTTTTTCCCCAGCTGCTAGTGTCGATTTCTTCATGCGACCGCAGCTGTGAATCAAGGATTGGCCTCTTTAGTCGCACAAGAAGTTGCAAAGGGAAAAGATCGTCTCTCTAGGCGTAAAATGTCAGAGAGAGAGTGAGAGAGAGAGACAGAGAGAGAGAGAGAGAGAGAGAGACAGAGAGAGACAGAGAGAGACAGAGAGAGAGATAGAGAGAGAGACAGAGAGAGAGAGAGTAATTAGCACACATAATGCATGACTATCACTAAATGAAGCTGTATAAATTCTTGTATCTGTGACATAATGCATAACTTCAACTGACGCTACGCTGTTAAAATGCTCATATATGTGTGACATAATTCTTGAAGCGACTCACGCAAAAGAGTAATGTATTGTATTGATTACACAATCCTCTTGGCGTCTCTTTAAACGGAATAATCTGGCGCTGTGAAGCCAGTCATTACTTGATCTTCCTATGAGGGACAAACGTTCCCTTCAAGAATAAGATTATAACCTCCATTGTGTGTTCATCTAGAGACCATGTTAATTAGAGACTTTTAGAGACTAGCTTCTTATCTTATGTTAATTATAAAACGTATTAAGTTTTTCGTTAAGACAACTTCGTCCTTCGCGTATCTATGTGTCAATCTTGTTTACTCATTTCTATGATCTTATGGCATTGGGGAAAAAGAGACACTAATTGGAAGTCGCCACAACAAATGGAATAAGTAATGTGTTTTTATCGTTGTCTCTTTCTGTGTTACTTTTTAGCGGCCCCCGAAAGGGAAAAAGACGCTATTAGTTTTGTGCGGCCTGTCTGTCCGTCTGTCCCGTTTAGATCTCAGAAACTAGAAGAGAAAATGAAAATCGGGCATAATGCTATTTTAGATCATTCAAAGTTCTGATGCAACGGCTACTTTTTTTCTTTTCCGAAAGTGAACAATCTAATTTTTTAAATTATGCAAGCAGATTTTTCAAAAGATTACACCACTTTTCAGTGAAAAACTTCAGGGGAAGTAATTCTTATTAAAAAGTACACAAGCTTCTTCATTAATAAATCATGCTTCATTCATAGATTCGCGCATTGGTACAAAAAAAATGCATCTAAGGTCACGATTGAAAAAGTATTAATGGATCATTATAAAATAAATTTTCCATTTGAAATAGAATACTGATTGAATACTGATTAAATACTGATTGAATACTGATTAAATACTGATTGAATACTGATTGAATACTGATTAAATACTGATTGAATACTGATTGAATACTGATTAAATACTGATTAAATACTGATTGAATACTGATTGAATACTGATTAAATACTGATTGAATACTGATTGAATACTGATTATATACTGATTGAATACTGATTAAATACTGATTGAATACTGATTGAATACTGATTAAATACTGATTGAATACTTATTAAATACTGATTGAATACTGATTGAATACTGATTAAATACTGATTGAATACTGATTAAATACTGATTGAATACTGATTGAATACTGATTAAATACTGATTACATACTGATTGAATACTGATTGAATACTGATTGAATACTGATTGAATACTGATTGAATGGTGTTTTTTTTTAAGAATTTTAATACGAACGTCGTTTCTATTGTAAGTTACAAACAAAAAAAAATTAGTTTTATACCGCGCAGTTTTCACACATCCTCATTAGGCTATACACTTGACAGCAATCTAAATTACAATAAATAGAGGCCAGATCTACATAGATATATATTTATAATACGAGTTCTAGTCTAGATATAGTAGATTATATTATATATATATATATATCAAGATTCTATATCCCTTGTCTTTAAACATTCGGACTCTAAGTCAGGCCATATTATTTAGGGATTAAGGATGAAGCATAAGGAATGAATATAATTACAAAAAGATTATCAAATGATTGATTTCATCATTATTAGATGTCGGGATGGGTCTTAAATTGTTTTATACTAGTGAAAGTACCCTGTGTAAGTAATGTTTCCTCGTGTTTGATAATGTTGAATTAAGAAACACAAAATGAGTAAAGACTTCTTTGAATGTATTTATTTCAATGTTAATTTTTTTTTGATCAGGATAAAGGGTTAGAGTCGTAATAGTTCACAATCGTATTTACTTTGAAATTTGAGTAACAAAATAATTAAGAAATTCAGAAATCATAGAAGCCTTTCAATTCATTTCAATTCATTTCAAACTTTTCATCCAAATTAAATTTAAAAAAGAAGAACGTAGAACAATTTGACAGGTTTACGGGCTTTCGTTGGAGCATATTTCCATGGAAGTCGAAAAGGCTGAATATTTTTGTCAGGATTGTGTTCGTCTTTCAAACCATTTTGGAAAGAACCTAGAATGTCTAGCAGCTTGTATATTTTGTTCCTTTCGGGTGAGGGAAAATATTGATAGGCATCTGGATCTGTGGGATGCAAGAACGCACCTTGGTCGAACAGAACAAATTTGGGTTTATTGTTAATTTCATATGTATCATATGTATCCGTGTCAGAGGGATGCATATAGACACCTTGATTAGCCAACAGCTTTACTTTATTATTGCCTTCAGATGTCAAAACCTGTTGGATGATATTCTTGCCAGTAGGATGCAAAGATACACCTTGATCTTCTAGCAGCTTTACTTTAGTATTGCCTTCAGATGTGGAAATGTATTGATTGACGTCAGAGTTTTTGGAATCCAAGGACACATCTTGAACGGTCTGCAGATGGATTTTGTTATTGCAATCTGATGTTGAAACCTGTTGGATAACATTCGAATTTTCAGGAGGCAAAAGGACACCATGGTCGGCTGGAAGCAGCATGACTTTATTGTTGTCTTCAGTAACAAAGCTCTGTTGAATGAGATCTCTATTTGTGCGACTCAAACGGCTATCTTGGTCGGCCGGAAGATTAAATTTTTTATTGACTTTAGATGTGAACATCTTTTCTTTCCCTTTCCTGAATGTGGGATACAAAGACACAGCTTTATTGGCCTTCAGATTGCCTTTACCATACCGTTCATATGCTGGAAAATATTTGATAGCATCTGTGTCTGAGGGATCCAAAGACACAGCTTTATTGGCCTTCAGATTGCCTTTACCATACCGTTCATATGTTGGAAAATATTTGATGGCATCTGTGTCTGAGGGACGCAAAAACACAGCTTTATTGGCCTTCAGATTGCTTTTACCATACCGTTCATATGTTGGAAAATATTTGATAGCATCTGTGTCTGAGGGATCCAAAGACACACCTTGAATAACATCGGTGTCTGAGGGACGCAAAGACGCAGCTTGATTAGCCTTCAGATTGCCTTTACTAAAGTGTTCAGATGTTGAACCATGTTGTAGGGCATCTGTGTCTATGGGTTCCAAAGACACACCTTGAATAACATCGGTGTCTGAGGGACGCAAAGACACAACTTGATTAGCCTTCAGATTGCCTTTGCCATTGCGTTCAGGGGTTGAACCATGTTGAAGGGCATCTATGTCTGAAGGATCCAAAGACACACCTTGAATAACATCAGTGTCTGAGGAATGCGAAGATACAGCTTGATTAGCCTTCAGTTGGGCTTTACTATTGCGTTCAGATGTTGAAAGATGTTGGATAATATCTGTGTCTGAGGCATCCAAAGACACACCTTGAATAACATCTGTGTCTGTGGGAGGCAAAGACACACCTTCATCAGCTTTCAGATTTGTTTTCTTGTTGCCTTTCGATGTCGAAACCAGCTGAAGGATATCTTTGTCTGTTGGATACTCACTTTGATCATCCGGATACTTCTTGACTTGGTTAATGCCTTCAGATTTTGAGAGGATTTGGTTGACATCTGAGTTTTTGGGATCTAAAGACACACCTTGATCGCCCAGCATAGTTACTCTATTACTGTCTTCATAAAAGGGAACCTTACCATTGACATCTGTGTTTAAGGGACGCAAAGGCTTATCTCGACCGGCTGCTTGATTAACATTATCATTGTCTTCAGATATGGGACCGTTATCATTGACATCTGTGTTTGAGGGACGCAAAGGCTTATTTCGACCGGCTGCTTGATTGATTTTATCATTGTCTTCAGATATGGGACCGTTATCATTGTCATCTGTGTTTGAGGGACGCAAAGGCTTATCTCGACCGGCTGCTTGATTGATTTTATCATTGTCTTCAGATATGGGACCGTTATCATTGTCATCTGTGTTTGAGGGGCGCAAAGGCTTATCTCGACCGGCTGCTTGATTAACATTATCATTGTCTTCAGATATGGGACCGTTATCATTGACATCTGTGTTTGAGGGACGCAAAGGCTTATCTCGACCGGCTGCTTGATTGATTTTATCATTATCCAAGTATATGGGACCGTTATCATTGTCATCTGTGTTTGAGGGGCGCAAAGTCTTATCTCGACCGGCTGCTTGATTAACATTATCATTGTCTTCAGATATGGGACCATTATCATTGACATCTGTGTTTGAGGGACGCAGATACTTATTTCGGCCGGCTGCTTTATTAACATTATCATTGTCTTCAGATTTGGGACCGTTATCATTGACATCTGTGTTTGAGGGGCGCAAAGGCTTATCTCGACCGGCTGCTTGATTAACATTATCATTGTCTTCAGATATGGGACCGTTATCATTGACATCTGTGTTTGAGGGACGCAAAGGCTTATCTCGACCGGCTGCTTGATTGATTTTATCATTGTCTTCAGATATGGGACCGTTATCATTGTCATCTGTGTTTGAGGGACGCAAAGGCTTATCTCGACCGGCTGCTTGATTGATTTTATCATTATCCAAGTATATGGGACCGTTATCATTGACATCTGTGTTTGAGGGACGCAAAGGCTTATCTCGACCGGCTGCTTGATTGATTTTATCATTATCCAAGTATATGGGACCGTTATCATTGTCATCTGTGTTTGAGGGGCGCAAAGTCTTATCTCGACCGGCTGCTTGATTAACATTATCATTGTCTTCAGATATGGGACCGTTATCATTGACATCTGTGTTTGAGGGACGCAAAGGCTTATCTCGACCGGTTGCTTGATTAATACTATCATTGTCTTCAGATATGGGACCGTTATCATTGACATATGTGTTTGAGGGACGCAAAGGCTTATCTCGACCGGCTGCTTTATTAACATTATCATTGTCTTCAGATGTGGGACCGTTATCATTGACATCTGTGTTTGAGGGACGCAAAGGCTTATCTCGACCGGCTGCTTGATTAATTTTATCATTGTCTTCAGATATGGGACCGTTATCATTGTCATCTGTGTTTGAGGGACGCAAAGTCTTATCTCGACCGGCTGCTTGATTAACATTATCATTGTCTTCAGATATGGGACCGTTATCATTGACATCTGTGTTTGAGGGACGCAAAGGCTTATTTCGACCGGCTGCTTGATTGATTTTATCATTGTCTTCAGATATGGGACCGTTATCATTGTCATCTGTGTTTGAGGGACGCAAAGGCTTATCTCGACCGGCTGCTTGATTGATTTTATCATTGTCTTCAGATATGGGACCGTTATCATTGTCATCTGTGTTTGAGGGACGCAAAGGCTTATCTCGACCGGCTGCTTGATTAACATTATCATTGTCTTCAGATGTGGGACCGTTATCATTGACATCTGTGTTTGAGGGACGCAAAGGCTTATCTCGACCGGCTGCTTGATTGATTTTATCATTATCCAAGTATATGGGACCGTTATCATTGTCATCTGTGTTTGAGGGGCGCAAAGTCTTATCTCGACCGGCT